ACTCTCAATTCCCCTTTCAGAGCTGATGCTGGGAGAAACAAATAACCTGAGGATGTCTCCTGATTTTTTTTAAACAGTGGTAGGAGACAGGGAAAATGTATCTGGAGGTTTTAATAAACAAGAATTCAGATTTCAACACGCTTCTCCTCCTCCACGTCTAAACCCCCATTATAAAGATGTTTATAAACATGGTGCTCTCCTAGATCTGCATATAGTGCTAAAGAAGAAGAAAAAGATACAGAGATGCAAGCATAGTGAATTAACAAGGGAGAAACCAGACTGTGCTATAGCAGTAAAATATTCACATTTGTGAATCAGAACAAATGGGTTCAGCTCAATAATTTGATCTCTTTTCGGAGGCATTTCGCCTACAGCAAAAGTCACAATGACAACCACTGCAATGGCACAAATGCAACATTATTTTGTCAGACATATTTTCAGGACAGCATTTTAATCATTTTATGTAACCAATAGTATTCAAATCAGAACATGGGGTGATTCACCCTTGCATCTATAGCAGTGAGAGTCCAAGAAAAGTCGAAGTCGAAGATGGGAATCACTTGGTGAGGCTCACAGATGAGCATGATGAGCAGACCTTGACCCAGTACTTCCAATATGCTCTACCAGGGGTGAAGGATGGCAGTAGGTGTTTCCTACTGGCATTTGGAAATTAGCCAGCTCACTTCCCTTTATGCATAACCTAAAGGGGTGGCATGGTTGGATAATAACAAGGTTGGGTATCTCACTTTGAAAGGTACAAAGGCTTGGCCTGAAATTAGGAGAATTCTTCCTCTGGGCTTTCCATTTCTTAGCTGAACTATTTACCACTTTTAGTAACTGGACTTTTAGCTTCCCAGTATCCCTTTGTTCTGTTCCTTCCACCACTAGGACAGGGAAGGAACCCATTAATGGACTGCGTGGAGTGTTCCTTGACTGCTGTTTTATAGCATTCCTTGAAGAAGCTTACTTGAGCTCTTGCCTTGCATATCAAGCATGAGAGACAGTATTTAAAGGCTCATCTTTCTAACACTAAGCTTTCAGATGCCAGTGCATAACAATCTTGAGTATTCACACCTTAATTCCAATGGACTGGTTTCATAAATGCAGGGCTTAAGTTTTGATGTTCTTCCAGTCATCAAGGAACTGCTGCCCAGTCTTGTTCTCGACTTTCAACATGAAGGAAATTTTTATGTTCAGGTATTCAGAAATAAATGTAGGGAAGTTTATGCGCAAGTAAGTTTGTACAGGAATGCAGAGTTAGGGCACAACCTCTCATAAGTTCATTGTACAGGAGCTGTTACAGGATACAGCTGCCTGATAACGTTAAGATGTTAAGAGAAAACACAGGAGAAGGGCAGAATATGCCCTCCTTCCCATAGTAGCATTCTTCTAGTTCTCAAAAAGGACCCATTATTTGGAAAAACAGCTCCTATGTAGGCTTCTATCACGTGGCCTAGATTTTCTGAAACTGCCAGACATAGGCTCAAGCAGCTCCTACAAGAGTAACAGAAGGGACTACAAGTAAGTACAGGGGAAGAGTTAACGGGAGTTGAGTGAGCTGATTGTCTCTGCTGCAGATGGTGGCGATATTCTGGCAAAAATAAAACTAACACAACACATTTCCAACACTACAAATTGCAATTATGCCTTTTAAAAATTGTATCTATACACCGCTTGATCAGTGCAACAGCCTTCCTGGGTAATGGATCTGTTTCATCATACATTAGCATTCTGAACATTGACAAAAAATATCTCTCCCCAAAATCAGTATGTCTGGACCTGTAAGACTTCACAAATCATTCGGGTGTGAAATTTACAAGTTACTCCTTTGTTTCTAACAGATCACCAGGACTATTCCATTTATCTCATCACCAGTGATTTTTTGTTGTTGATGTTCACAGAATCTTCAGATAAAAATAAACAGAACAAATAAGATAGCTGGTGATAGTAGGGTTAAACCTACAACAGCTTCAAACAAAGCTTTCTGGGTGGTGGATAAGATACCTTATCAGTCAAATTTTGGGTACTAATGCATGCAGCTGGCTACCTCTTAACTATGACTAAGGGATCAAGTGCAAGCTGTGGCTCTTCCTACTCCCACCCTTTTGTTTCCACTAGTAAATGCCCTATTCTTGCCATGATTAAGGAAAATGGTGGCTTTATGGCTAACACCACCCAGATTCCCTGCTGTACTGGAATGTGAATCCAGTAAACTGTCTTAAACCAGGGTGGAAATTAGTGATGACAGTCTCCTTACCGATAGTTAATGTGCAAGGAAAAATAGAAAGAACTTCTCCACAGCTGGATCCTAATCTCTTAAATTATAGGTAGGCAAAGTTGGGCCTTCCAGATGTTGTCAGCCTGCAGTTGAATATGCTATCTGAGACTGCTTCAACAGCTTCTGGAGGGCTACGCTTAGCTGAGCATTTAAAACGTGAGTAATACAAGAGTTAGCATCGTCTTTTTACTAACTCTCATTTACTGCCAAACTAAAGGCAATGCCTATCTGATGAGAGACTATCTTTGTACAATAAAAATTTTAACTACGAGTACTACTTCTGCATTAACAATAATATGGGAGCACACTAGAGAAGCTCTAAGATTTTGTGGTAAACAGACTCACTATCTTTTCTGCAGGTACTGTAATGCATGAACAGAACTCTAAACATTGGTCTACACTATCGCCTTGAGAATTTTCAGTAAAATATCTTTTAATTCTAGTATTATGCAACAAGTTCTAGGGAATGTGATAGAATACAAAAACTAGGAAATTTTTACAACTATTTGGCTAGTATAAATAAGTTTAGAATACAGTCAAAAATAGCAGACATTGTGAACTGTCTACAGTGTAAACTGATTCAGGTGTTCTAGGATCCAATACACCCATATAACCCATTTTAAAAATAAGTTTCAGTGCATGTTTAAGTGATGATCCACTATATAAGCAGCCTCTGCATGCCTGGGAAAACCTGTACAGTAAGCATGCAGTTCTGAATATATTTCTAAGTGCTTAGATTTCTCTAAGTGCTTAGATTTCACATTCAGTACAAGAATGTGGTATATATTAACTACAACAAAATAATCACAATAAATTCTTAACTTTTAAAGTAAATTAGGGCAAATTCATAATATTTTATTCAAGGCAAACAACAAAGTTTACCCTACTGTTTTAAACTGAGTTAGTAAATTCACATGATTTTCAAATTAGGAAGATATCAAATTCACATCAGAACACCATATCAAAATTATACATCAGAAGATTAACACCAACATTGCTTTAAAAACCATTTGTATTTGTTTTACATAAAATTACATCCTGCATAGCCTTTTAAACGGTTACCCTGAAAACACAGCTTTTTAAAAGCAGATTGGGCAGGATTTACAAATTATAGAACTCTCATAAAATCTGAGATTATATTAAGGAAAGGAAAGACTCAATATATATATATATATATACACACTGAAGAAGCCAAGAGAAATTAAAGGTTCTTATTTCAACCACAATAGACAGGATTAAATTTTAATAATTACTTTAGGCACCACAAGGCTATTGGGTAAACCCATTGGGATTTTTGAGGGCTTGTTTTTGTATAGGGCATCATGTCACATCAGAAGTAGTTGCAAAGTTGTGCAGTTAAATTAAGAAGCAGATTCTTGGTGCATACAGAAGCAAGCCGACCATTCTTTAAATCTCAGCTAACTTCTGCAACTGCCCTTTTAGGCTGCAGCCCTGAACACCATTTCTAGGGGATTATTTTCAAGTTAATGTGTTTAGGATTGATCATACCAGCTGCTTGAAATAGCTGCTTAATTTCTGTTCATATTAATTCTAATTTGTTATTTAGATCCCTCTTTTTTTCTGTGTCTTTAATAAAATGTACAGGATGTTGCTAACCTGTATGTACGTTTTCTAAGAAAAGCAAACAATTTCCATTGGAAAACTCAAGTAGAGATAGTTAATTTTATTTGTTCCTTTCATTGGAGGGGGGAACCTGTATCTAACCAACTACAGTACTTTGCAAGCACAATTATTCTACAACTAACTTTCCCAATTGTAGAGCTTAACTCAAACCTAAACATAATTGCAAATGAACAAATGCATGGGCATTTCCAACCAGAGAGGCTGAAAGTAAAAGTTAGTAACAGCCTGCAAGGTAGGTCAAGAATTTTTTTTCTTGGAACCAGTTGAAAATGGCCATGATCCAGAAAAATAGGAAGCAGCAAGAGCTGGAACTTCGAACATGCATGTGCAAACACCTCATTCCCATGCTACTTTCTATTTGGGGGAATTATAGCCTTAATATTTCTGTGTACCCTCCAGTTCTGACCTCAGTTTTTTTAAAAAAAATCTCTTATATGTCAAGGTGGGAAATAGGCCTTAGGTATTTCAGACCACTTTTCAGGCTACTGCCTACTTTGTGTTTCATAATAATCATAGAATAAGGGAGTTGGAAGAAGCCTATAAAACCATCGAGTCCAACCCCCTTCAGTGCAGGAATCCAAATCAAAGCATATCTGACAGAGGGTTGTAAAATTTTCTCTTGAATGCCTCTAGCTTTGGAGCACTCAACACCATTATGACCATAGTATGAGCTCCACCAGGATCCACTATAAAATGCACAGTAGTAGTCCTGTGCAAGCTGGATAAAAAAAGCAATGATTTTTTTAAAAAAATGAAATTGATTTAAATCATGATTTAAATTTTAAACATCTTTTTTTATTTAAATCATAAAAGAATCTGATTTTTAAAATTAAAATTATGATTTATATCAAATCCACTCTGGCTGTTGTGTGTTTCCAATGACCTTCTTTTTGCAGAAGGACTGGAGCATTTTGAATGACCCAAGTCTTCAAACTGTTGTTACGAGCAGCTCCTTTGGTAGTCCAGCCACAGGATTCTGAGGACAGACTTGGTACTAAAAGTGAGCTTCAAAAGTGATCATGCAGTTGCTGACTGCTGAGTGGGGCGGGGGGGGGGGGCGGACCAAAANNNNTATCACATGCAGGCCTTGCACAATCTATCTGAAGAAGTTCTATGGGTTACAACCAACATACCTTCATCATTCATTTATGCCAATTCAGAACATAATCCTCACAATAAAACTTGTTATGTCAAATGGACTTGGAACTGCAGCATCAAAAAACCATGTGGACATGTACGACACACATGCACTCTCTGTGTGTCTGGACAGGAAGCTCAAGTCTTTAAAGCAGTTGTGGTCAAAGTGTAATCTCAAAGGGTTGTTTTTCCCCCTCCCATTCCCCCTGGGTCCCTCAAGTGCCCTCGTCTTGCATGTCAATTTTTTTAATTTTTTATTTAGCCGCCTTCTTTTAACTAAACAGTTCCAGACTCCAACCCTCGCGCCAAATGATACCAGAAGTACTGTACATGCTCAACTACCACCTGTTTTGATTTTTGTATTTCTAGGGCTGGTGCATCCCACAGAGGGTTTGAGTAGCAAAATAACAATAAATTTTAAAAATGGACTACCAACCTCTGCTTTAAAGCAATAACATGTGTACAGTAAGTTCTTTCACAACCATTCTTAATCAAAATTTTGCAGTCTCTAAAATTGGTATTATACTGGGGTAACATACCTATTGCTCCTCTCAAATTCCTGAGACCTTCAGGGTCTAGTGAGGCCTTTAAGTTCTAGCAGCTTAACAAAACCTATGGTTTCTCTAAGAGTAAAATTACAAACACAAAAACCTATCACAAAAATATATGCTTAAAAAGGGAGATGATACTGACCAGCTTCTTTTCAACTCAAGGAACAACAGAAAAAAATGGCAAGTAATATGTTATTCTATTAATGTTGATACTAGCATTTGTTTAAGAAAATATACACAGGACATATTCAGATGGGTACATAAGGATTCTTTCAATTCTTAATTTGTATTTCCATATATAAACACTTTTGGCATGCAAAAGGATCATCCGGAGGAATACATCCATTGCTCTCACAGTTAAGACACACAAAAGATAATTCTTAAATTGTATCTTGTCAAGCTTTGCTGATGGCAAGTTGGAGAAGAGAAGCACTTTAACAACAAACCAAGCACATCTATTTTCTTTTTCAAAAACACAAACCAAACAAATACAGACTATTAAAAAGCCTTTAAAAATGAGAAAAACAAACATCCACATGGAAAACAATGGTCAACTTTTTGTATTACGATCCAAGTCAAACCCAAACATGTGAGAACCTTGTTAAGTCTGTGATTGATTCAACTTGGCTTCTGCAATATTTCCATTTTCAGGAAAGTTAGATGGGAAATTGTTATTAAAATTTGCTGGAAACTCTAAGGCTGCACCAGCGTTTTCATAGCTCGCATAAGAATGAAAGGACTGCTGTGAAAGTACTTGGCTATCAGGCACCTGTACAAATACCCCTGCCTGAGTAGCTGGGGAGGTTCTTTGGCCAGCTAGCGGTACTTTAGGTTCTCTGGGATCCAGCTGCTGCTTGCTTTCTTCATCCGTGTCAAGACGGGTGAGCTTTTCTATCCACATGCGAAACTTCTCCTCTGTCTGCCTCTGCATCTCGGCAAAGCAGTTCATGGCCTCTTCCAGGACGCTGCCTATGCAGTTCCTATCCCATACGTTGCCCCTGTCAAGCAATCCTGGAATTTCCCCGGTCGCTCCTCCAGATCCCCCAGCACGACTGAAGCCAGCTTTAAAGACATTAGGCCATTGCATAAGATATCATGGAAGGAAACACAATCACATCCAAACATTTAGGCATGCGAGCAGGAAAAGGCTATATACTTGTTCTTACTGGTCACTTGGATACAATTGCACAGAAGTAGCATGAAACTTCACCCAATTAAAAGTTCATTAGTAACCCACACACCCCTACATGATTACTAGAACTGATTGACTTTGATGATTTTGGGCAGGGAGGAGTCTGTCACTTTACTACAGATAGCTCTGATGTTTTTATTGTTGAACAAGAGCCAAAGCAGAAGAAATTAATCCAAATTTTGTTTTTAAATATAAACATGAATGAAGCATACTTTACTCAAAACAACAACGTATAGGAACACGAGTGTGGCCTTTCCTGATTTTTTGTTTTAAAATATAAACATGAATGAAGCTATTTTTAAGCATACTTTACTCAAGACAACAACATATAGGAACACGAGTGTGGCCTTTCCTGATCAGACTCAGGTTCACCTAGTCCAGTGTGCTATTTCCAAAAGTCAGATACCTCTAGGACCACATAAAGCAAGGTATGGTGTTGACCAGGTATTGCAGGCAGAATTTCTGCATTTTTTCATAAGACATCTACAGTATCACTTTAGAACATGGGCATCCCCTTATCTTCCATGCCTATAAGTCTTTGCTAAACCTCCATAGATTTTAACTCTACAAATCTGCATTTTGTTGGAATAATGTTGACTAAACAGAAACTGAACACAAACTGCTGGTTATGCCAAATAAAAACCAGTCCTTTGATTTCACAATTTCAAAATAAAATAAAATAAAATCTCATACTTCAGCAACCAGACCTTATGAGTGAAAATATTATCACAAGGAAATTTTTACTACTACACACAATTAGAATCATGACACTTACAAATAGGCACAAATAAACCTATGGAGAGAAGAAAAGAACTTTAAACATGGTTTCTAGAAGCCTATGGCAAATTATCATCCAAAACACCCTTAGATTTAGCCTTTCAGACTGCATGTATAGTTCCAGCTTTTTCTCTGTAAATGTGATACCTAACTTTTTTATTTCAATTTAATGTGTCACATAGATGCCTATTGCATTTTACTGCAAACTGACAGGACGTACTGTACAGAGGGACTGAACATCTCAGTATCCCACTACCTTCTCTACCAAGAGAAAGAACCTTTTCTATACTAGGACTACAGGAAAATCAGAGGACTGGTAAGAAATCTTAAGTCCAGGGGAAAAACTGAAATGTGAGAATCACCCCTCCTGAGCTGGGGGAGTTTACAAGTTTACAAAAAACAACACTCTGTACATTTTTCTTCACCAGCAAAAATACAATAAAAATGAAATTAATTCCTACAAAGATGAACTCTTTTTTTCTATTGTAACTTCTCTTTGCAAACTAGAGAATAAACCTGCCACTTACTATCTAGTCCTCTTTTTCTTAGAGAGTAGGTAGTCCCAGTAGATGACTTTAACATACAGAGCTGGGGCGGCCTTGGTGGCCAGTCGTGAATTTGTCATTGCTGGGACATTTCTTTGACCAAAAGCATGAAGCCTTGTCCTTGATGTCATGCATCATCTTTCAGGGGCAGTATGAGGTCAGAAATACACAGCAGCTTATCTATGGCACCCCTCCAACTCAGAACTGGTGAGAAGTGGTAGTCATATGCGGTTCCTCTCTGTCTCTACTTGGAATCTGGAGCTCCTGCAGATGCAAATACAAGCACTGGTGCTTCTTCCTCCCTTTCTGCTTGACAACCAACAAGAAGTGCCAGGGTTTTCTTTGACTGTGCCATGCAGGTGGAATGCTAGAAGTGCAGAGACATGTCTCTGTGGATCTACCTTCTCTCTCTGGGTCAAAGCATAAATTTACTCCATATGACACCTGCATTTAAATTAATAGCTAGCCTTTCAAGAAAACACCTGTAGCAGACGTTTAATTTGTATAAATAAGCAAGCAAGGCAAAGGAACGGATATTAAATGGTAAAAATCCACACCAGTCTAGGTCTCATTGCTTCACTTCGTATTAAATGCCAATCAAATAAGCCACCTACAGGAAAACACTAGCATAAAGCTCTGTAACAGAAGCCATGGGCTTTGATTATGTAGATTTGCACAACATTTAGAAGAGGTAAATGCAAAATAGCTTGTCTGTATACACGTATTTCACCATGATGGCTCAACTCTTCTATTTGTTCCTTACCAAAAAATGGCTTGGACAGTAGAGACCCTGCCTTACAGAATGGGTTATAACAGAGATCCTTTCACAAGTTCACATTTTCTGTTGTGCATAGCACCTTGTAGTGCACTATGCCTAGCCAGTGTCCTTAGCACTGCTCCATATAGTCAACAAGTCAAGGGAATGAGATACGTAATCTGCCACATATTCATCAGAAGCCCTACTATGTTATGGACCAGAACCATTTTAGACAGTGGGTAATCCAAGTTCAAAACTAGAATAAAGAAGACCTACCTAAAAACTTTTCCACTGCATGCCAGTAACCTGATCATCTGTTTAATGTGCAGCAGCACACACCCTGCAGACTGAAATGGTACAGCCTAGAGAATGACATGCTGTGTAGAGCCTTGGATCGTCACAGTTCTACCTCTATGTTCATCCTTCCTCAAACTGTATAAATGTTCCAAAACTACCCTGCACAGTTATGCATTAGTAATTATTGATTAGATTTACATCCTGCCTTTCTCCCAAGAATGAGACTCCAGATGGCATGGTTTAAAAACTGATGGCCAGAAAGAATCTGGCCATTAGTAGCCCACCAAGCACATTTACTGAATAACTTCTATTCATTTCAGCTAGTTTACTCAGAATGTTCCTGGAAATCAAACTGAAATGATGCCTGGACAGCTGTAACACCTGGCAGGCTAAATACATACACAGAACTAGAAACCCAAAGTGCTGTGCAAAGGTGGAACTGCTGAACTTAATAAGTTACCACTAACAGGGAAAATGCTTGAAAAGGTCAAGCTGTGAACTCAGCATTATCATTTACTTTTAAGTCTTCTCACAAAATACAGAAAGATTATATTTAAATATTTTAAATACAAGACTTGTTTTCCTTTTGTGCAAAGTAGCAAATGTATGCTTCCCCCATAAAAGATTGGCAAACCAAAAGCTTTTTAAATAGTATTTTTATTTTAAGGTTGCTATAAAATGCAATTACTTTACGTATCATATGCCAAGTTGAGTAGTTGATACATATTCCTGATCATGCTGTTTGGGCTAAAGAAATAAGGCAGGCCTTAATAGACTGAAAACTTCTCAAAATGCATTTTCTGATACGTTGTAGAAATAATAGCCAAAATATTTCACCTCTCAATCAGTCAATATGGATGCAGTAAAAACAAAAAGATTAGAAACTGTGCAATCCACAAAACAGAAGAAATTAACTCACTTGCTTCTGAAACTGAGGGCCAATGTGGGGTTAGTAATTAGCAACCTGTGCACAAAATTTTCCTCATACAGGCTCTGATGTAGACAGCTTGCCAAGTTGTGACTTGCAGCAAGCCCAAACCAGCTTATCATGCAATGAAAAGAGAGCTGGAAAGTGCAGCATTAAATGCAGTATCAGAGAGAATGGAGCCTTCTTGTAAACAGCAGGAAAATGCCCCATGGTGTTTCAGAGGCAGAAAGAGGAACAGTTATATTTTAAAAGAACAATCCAAAGTAAGCTGTTTTAAATATTACCATCTAAGCCACACTGATGTTACTGGACAAGGGAGGGGAATGGCAGAAGGCAAAGGAGACAAACTGGACTTCACTCACCATTACCAAATTTTAAAGATTTGATACTGTGCGAGTAAAAGCAGAGAACCCGCATAACCCACTTTTAAAATGCAATGTGTTTCTAACACACAGCAGCTCTAGCTTATTTAGACAGAGCTTCAGTTCTCCTAGTTTATTATTAAATTTTTTTCTCAAGTGTCGCTCCTCTAAATTTAGCATGACAGCTGAGAAATGATGGCAGGAGCTTTACCAGTTCAGTTTAAAAAACATCCTCTACCTGGTATCTCTGCAGTGATTGTCTTGCTGCTTCCTGAAACTTCTTCATCATCATCTGATGAACTCGTGCTTGAGTCACAGGTTAGGTCACTATCACTGGTACTGCTGTCCTGCAGCAGGTTGTACTTCTTGCGGGCAGCTGCCTCCCGTTTCTGCCTCAATAATCGAATCCTCTCTTTGTGCTTTTGGCTCCGATGACCTTTGACCTTAGTGACACGACCATTCTGCTTATCACTAGACTGCCGGTTTTTCTTAGCAGCCATCGTTGAGGTTTCACTTTCTGACCTGGAGCGCCTAACCTTTCTCCCAACAGTAGACCCTGAGACTGCAGAAGAGTCTCCCTCTATAATTGCTTCAGCTTGGCTGGGCTCATTCTCTTCGGGAGAAGACAGAGTGTCTGAATCAGCCAAATGCCCACTGGAAGAAGGGGACAGCATGCAGTGGTTGGAAGAGTCACTCTCATACACACGAGCAGCTGTTGGCTTGTCACTCTCTGTTGACGCTAGCTGAGATTCTGATGAGTCTCGTCTCAGTTCCATCAACAAGCATGGCATTGAGGCAAGCACTGCTGAATCCTCCACAACAGCTCCACTTTCCTTCTGAGTAGGCATGTCTAGTTCTATAGATCCTTCTTCACCCAGAGTTTCCTCTTGTTTTTCTGAGAGTTTTGGTGGGACTTCTGGGTCAATGAGTTCTTCTGCTTTGTCTACTGCCTCCATCTTCATTTCAGAGTTTTAAGTCTCTCCTGGTCTCAAAGCATGGAGCACAAGTCTAGTAGATAGTGCAAGCTAGTCTAAGGGCTTAAGATGGAAAACGATCTGCAGAAGAACACACAGAGAAAATGAACAGGTTGGCAGTGACAACACATTCAAGCAGTAAAATCACCTGTCTGAATTACTCTTCATAAAATAAGAAGAACCCTTCCCATTACAATGCAGAACTGAGTAAATATGGGGGCTCTTTTAATACAGGTGATTCAGTTAGGGCTTGAACTCCCAGAACCAGCTTTGAGAGGAGGTGGAGCTGTTGAACAGCGAAGAAATTAATCTCTTACACAATTAGATTAGATTTACTTCATATTAAAGGACAAACTAATGAGCATAAGAACTAGAGATGGAGGTATTCGTATTCGTAGATAAATATCCCTGCACAGGTGGTGTTAACAAGAAACTAGAGATGGAAGTATTCGTATTCGTAAATATCCCTGCACAGGTAGTGTTAACAAGGGTCCAGCCCCATGGGGCCAGTAGGTCCACTCACTTATCCACTGCAGACGCGGAAGGCACGATTCTACCAATGGCTCTGCAGCGCACAATCCGTTCGCCACTCTTCGACCTTGCAGCGAGGCTTGTCCTCCCGCCTCCTGCCAGGAATGGCAAGCAGATCACGCGTTGCAGAGCCACTGGTAGAATCGTGCCGTCCATGTCCATGGCGGATCAGTGAGTGGACTGTCTGGCCCCATGCGTCTGGACCCTCATTAATGGGGATATTCATATTCATATACGAATACCCCCATCTCTAATAAGAACACAAAGGGCTGCGCTGATCAGACCAAAGGCCTACCAAGCCTAAAGTTCTGTTCCCACAGTATTCAACCACATGCCTCTTGTGAACTTTGCAATATTCCCCAACAATTGTTATGCAGAGACATTTTGTAACAGAACCACAGATTAACTACTCAGACAGGACTGAATTTCAGTCCAGATCTATTGCTAATGAATTTGGTAATCTTCAGAATTCAGAAGCAAAACTGGGTAGAATATTTTCCTCTTGATGCCTAGAAGTACAAAATTGTGGGTAGTAATGGCCACCTACTTGGCTACTTGAGGCACTACCTCAACTGAGAGAAGTCTGGGAGCTGATCCAAACTCCTCTCCAGCAACATCAGTAAGGGGAGGAAAAAAAAACCTTCCTGGCATGGTTCCCAGTTCACTCTGCAAGAATGAACCAATAGACATATTCCCATTTCCTAAAAAAAGAGATAAAAGCCACAGTTTCCAAGGACTATGAAAATTTGTCTCAACTCCTCCATCCTGTTACTAGGAAGCCAGCTCCAGACAAGAGTAGAGGTAGGAAAATGAAGCAGGGTCTGTCACAAGCAGAATGGTATAGAGATGAGCCTAGTGGCATCAAAATACAATTATTGATTTCATTTATATGCAGGCTCTCTATTACAATTGGGACCCAAAGCAGCTTCAAGGACAAATGAAAACCACAACAAATTAAAATACAAGAAAATGGTGAACATTAATGTAGAATTAAATTCAGTTACATAATTAGAATACCATTCAAACTCTTTAAAATAACTTGAAAGAGTGCTAATTTAACGTATCAGGAAAAGTGTAAGTACTTAAGTTAGCACTTGGTATACTATTCTACTGCAATCTATTACCTATACAACAACTTTTATATTGGTTGCCCACATTCATCACTCTGACTCTGACTCTGACTCTGAGTCTGACTCTGTGTGTCTGTGTGTCTGTGTGTCTGTGTGTCTGTGTGTGTGGTGTGTGTGTGTGTGTGTGTGTGTGTGTTTTCTTCAGAGAATCTGTCAGAATGAGTTTAAGGTAGTCAGAGCTTATAAATTTAGACCACAGAAGGACTCAGCCCTAGTTTTCATATTCTATCAGAAGGATAGTATTGCTCTGTATCCCTCCCTGCTCATGGCTTTCTATACCTGTATTTATTAACATTCTACAACAATTAACACACACAAAAAAATGTTTTCCACTCTGTGATCTGTTTGCCAGCAGCAGGGAATGGGAAACACAGGAGTTGGAGACAGAAAAGACTTGAGGACATCTCTTTGCCCCACACAAACCTTTCTTAAGACCTCTTAAGGAAATTGTGGGGGAGGTTGCTTTTGGTAATGCTAGCGGAAAAACACTTCTTCTGATTTCTGGATGATGATGATGTTATACAGAATGTTCCAACCACAGGGGCTTCTTACCTGACAAAATTTACATATTTGTATTCACGTTGTCTGTGTCTGGAACTCTAAACAGTTATTTTATAGGTTCCAGAATAAAAGTTTATTAGAGACATATGGTGAAGATTTCAGAAGAGCTTCTGAGTGAACCTGTTAAGCCCTGCATAGTGTTCAAATGCATTCAAGAGTGCGGTTTTCTCATCCATACCGCAATCATCCTCAACAAGAAATCTTTGCTTACAGCATATATAGCATATTCAATAAAACTGAACAACTGAGAGCAACTGTGAACATTAGAAACAGATAGTAAAATTTGTAAATTTAGGACAGTGTAGGACAGATTAAGCTCACAAGCTCAAGTCTTGTTCCCAAATAGCGGTTTCGTGTGAATCATTTCCTCTTATGTGATAATTATTTATGTAACTGACAAGAGTGATTGTTCATGTTGAGACGATCGCAAAGGAAGAGATGTTATGTGAGAAGCATAACATGTAAACTCACCCTTCAACTACTGCTGTCACTGCTTGTACCTGTTCTGCAGATAGAAGCCTCGAGTGTCCAAAGGTGTCATTCTGGCTGCATTTCCTCAACCAATTCACTAAGAAAACACACATAAAGGATTCAAATGTAAAGAAAACAGATGAAAAATACAAAGTAGCAAAAAGCACCAAATTATGAGAACTATACAAACCTCCAGATATCAATCTATTCTGTAACTAAATTGTCAAAGGTGACAAAAGATTTAATATATGTCCAATACTGCCTAAATTTTTGTCACATAGGAAACAGTAGATTACTTGGATTAGGCACAGATCATCTTCATTTAGCAGTTATAACATCCATCTGTATGTTAACATCAGGAACACCCCACATATTTTTTTGTTTGGCTTGGCCACATTCTTTAACCCCTTGAAGGAAATGCTACTTCAGCTATCTCTGCTGCCCTATGAGCAAACAGCCACAAAACGTTTGCAAGGGGCTTTTGCTTAATCCTCTGCATGTGTGTTTAGATATAGTTAGTTATGCAGTATTCAATGGGCATAGTATTTGTCCAAGGTAAGAATGAACATAACTGTAGCCTACCGTAAGTTCTGTTTCACACATCCATTTTTACCTACACAGTGTTTTAAAAGGACATACAAAAGAGGTTTCCAAATTAGTACTGCATTTGTTCTCTTTGGCCACAAACAAGTAAAGCTCTGTGTGGCACAGAGGATGACTGTACACTCTGGAAGGTGGTGGGGTTTATTCTATATTTCCACTGCTAAAGAGGCAACCTGCATGACAGATTATTCTTCTGGTATCACTTACAAAACTAACATGTAATTCTGGATCTCTCACATCAGTGAGTGTGCTTGATAAAGCAATTAAGTTATGAATTGTTTGTGTTATTAGCAACTAAGCTAATGAATGTTAAGATGGAAAATGATATTTAAGATCTCTCAATTTCAACAACTAATTAAAAATTCCCTATAACTCAGAAGAAGTCCTGGAGTTTTAATCTGACTGAGTAAGCTTTTATTTGATACATTCATGTACGAATGTGGTAATCCAGTGCAATTAGTGTCACACAGCCACATAAGGCAATATGCTTGTGACCTTTGTTTAAGCTTGAACTTTGACAAGAGATACGTAACAAATACGTAGGTTGGGTGATGGTAAAAGAGAGGTGGGAGAAGTGCCAGTTTCTCAAAAATAAAAAAATAAAAAAGCAGCATGGCTCCAAAAAGCTGAGGAATATCTCCTCTCGCTTTTTAATCTTTTTGACATTCTGAATCACCAAGCACCCCACCCCCCAATGGAGTTCAGGAACTCTACACCACACAGACTAAAATTCATGTGTACAGCAAGACTCACATAATAAGACTTAGCTTATGTTTGCATTTTTTGTACAGATAGCATGCATGAACTGTGCAGTAGGAACCAGCAATTCCTAAACTCTAACAGTTTCAAATTAATGTCTCAGTGAGAATACAATGACACAGAGAAGAGACAGAGCTGAAGGAAGCATAGTACTTTCTCATTTATTCTTATTATTATTTTTATTCAAAAATACCAGGCAGTCAATCAAAATTATAAAAGCACTGACTGGTATTATGTAACAGATTTTAACCAAAAACCTAAGTATTTGTTAAATATTGATGTAGCATATATGCTGTTCCTAATACTGCCCTGTTTTTTCCAGCTCTGATGTTACTTCTGAAATCTGCATCTGCTTATAATACTGTATGAAATTTCTAGGTATTGTTCCCAAAACTTCGATGATGACGGGGACAACTGAGGTGTTTCATCCACAAGTGAAATATTTCAATTGCCAGATCTCTGTATTTTGTTAGTTTTTCCAATTCTTTATTGTCAACTCTGGCATCTCCTGGAATTGCAATGTTAATTATCCAGTCATTTCTTCATCCTATTACTACTACTTCTGGTGTGTGATGTTCAAGGTGTCTATCAGTTTGGATTCAGAAATCCCACAAGATCTTGACGTCGTCATTTTCTAACAATTTCTCTACCTGATGTTCTCATGTGTTTTTGGAGACTGGCAAGTTATATTTTTGCATGTTATTGTTACTGTTGCTGCTGCAGTGTGGTAAATAACTACTTAGTCAATCAAGATGAGTGACAGCAACATGTCAATGCGAAGACAGATCGTTATGACTTAGTAACTAAGTTATCATCTATGCTCATATGAGAATTGCACTGTTTCTTTTTGTAAAAAAAATCCAGGGACTTATCATATGTGCAAAAAAAAATTGTATACAGGTTTGGGAAATTGTAACAGAGATTGTTCAACAAAAAATAAATTTTAAACCTGAAATGTTATTATTAAATATAATGGCAGAAATTATTGAAAAGAAAATAAAATATAGTCTACTGTATAGATTCACAGCAGCTAGGTTACTCTGGGCCCAAAAATGGAAGAATGAAGAGACACCAACGATGGTTGAGTTATTAAAGAAGCTAATGGGCATTGCAGAACTAGTCATGCTTTCAGAGGCACTTGAGCTATTAAAGAAGCTAATTGGCAGTGCAGAACTAGTCATGCTTTCAGAGGCACTACAGGATCAACCAAGAGATTTTGTAAAGCAAAGCTGGAAGCTGATATATAATTGGGCCCATAAAAAGACAGGAACTTAAGGGGAAAATTTAGTCAATAGCAAACCAGTGCTTACCGGAATCACCTTGAAGATATTTCAATGACCAGACGACAGTGAAATCTCTGATCCACAGGTGAAGGAAGGATGTTTAGTTTTTTTAATTTGTTTTCTTAATTATCTGTTAGATTGTTAATGTTTTTAAGTTTGTATTTTAGATATACAGGTAAATAAAATGATTTAAAAAAAAGAATTGCACTGTTTCTATAATTCTACATTGAGAAGTGGGTGGGAAATGCCAAGCCAGAATGACTTTAGGTGCTCATATCATACATTATGCACTTATTATTTCCTATTCCTTTATTTCCGACATGTACAATATATGATTTACTGAATGAATCACTGTAACAGTAATAATCAGATCTGTTCCCAGTTACAATCATGTAACAAAGAATTTACAAACTGCAGACTTGGGACAGTAATTACATGTCTACTAACACAACAACAAAGCCCAGTGCCCCTTGAATTGACTCTTATGGGCTGAGAACCTGCATAGAGCCATTTTTTGTGGTGCAGACAGCTGTAGGGTAGAGAGAGAAGAACATGTATTCTGTTGCATTGCAGTGTCAGCATGACAAATGGAAGTTAGGCCTCAGTTCCACACTGAAATGGTACCGTACAGGCATGCATTGGCATCTAATAAAAATATATGCACTAATAATGTTCATGAACCAATGTGCAAGGCTGCATTGCAAACACGGGTTTTCACTATTATCCTAAAGCAGATGTAAATGTTATTTATCACGATGCACCAGGCTATAACTAGTGTAGTGGCATATTTTCAAAGGACTTTTATACCATTCCTGAGTAGAAAAGGTCAATCACAGTACTATAATTTTTTACAGATAACCCACACTCAGAGATAACACTCTTGAAACGTCACTAAAACTTGAGGACAAAACTAATGACATGTTTTGAGCACTACAGATAAGCCAACAGGAGTACTAACTTAAGCAACAAAGCAGAAGTGAAATACTGTTAGAATTTTGCAGCTTTATCTATCAAAAAGGTCTCTCCTATTCTGGCGATGAATCACACCCATATTACTTAACATCAAAGAAGGAAATGATGATCAGTCCAGGATGGTAATAGATGCTTTCATATTTGTTCTTTTAGACTACAATTCCTAGAATTCTTAGGTAAATTTCTCCCCAACCCTCCATTACTGGGATGAAAAAACATCATTCCTGCACATAAATATTTTATCACGATAAACAGTAAACTGAAGTACTGTTTTCTCCATAAGTTAGGAATTATGAGTCTCTTTCTAAAATCATAATGCTGAAATCAAATTTGGCATTACAATGTGCTTACTGTGTTATCATTCTTCAAAGAGGTTGAACTTTTCCTTGAGTCAATTAATTTCTAGGAGTTGGGCTAAGAATCATTAATAGATAGTTCACATGGAGCTGTGTGTATTTATGATCTGACTATAACATTTGTGGCCAAGCTGGATGTGCCATACAGTATATGCTTACACCATTTTTTAAAAACAGGGCGGATAAAAAATCAATGTTTTTTTTAAAATCAAATTGATTTAAATCAAATCCACCCTGGTTTTTACAAAATAGTGGCATGTAGGAAATCAGTATGATCAGTATGTCTGCCACACTCAGACTGGTATCCCTGCTCTCCAATACCTCTGTAATTTTCAATGATAGAAATTCAGTGAAGCACTCTCGTCCAGTTTTATATCACTTCTACAATAAAAAAGTGCAGGATTATTCTGCTGATAGCATATTATGCGAAAACTTGCTTTCTGTTTTGGCAATTAAGCTTTGTTTAACATACTAATTAAATATAGAGTTCAAGGGCCAAATTGTCAATTGATGAATGGAATCGTCAGTTAGGAAATGTGGGGGTTGCTCTTGAAAGCAAAAAGCTAGAGTAACTCATGAAAACTTCGAAGAAAAGCATCAAAAAAAGAAAGTAATCAATTCAAAACAGGAGAGGGATTTTACCTTGCATTTAGCTGCTCACCTCTCCAGTTGTTTATTTCTTAATAATAAGCCACTCTTTCCTAAGCCTTTGCACTTATATACATGATACAGGTTTATAGGTGAGGGGGAGAATGCTTTGTCACAGCTGGTTCCCCGTTTTACCCAAGGCACTGGGAAATTACTTTGGCACTTCACCAGACAATTAACAAATTAGCCCCAGCTTCCATCCTAGAGGCAGCAGGCTCTACAATGTTCCACTAGGATGATGAGTGAAACAAGAGCTGAAAGGATGAAATTAGAACACTGCATCAGCTAGCTTTGCATAAACAAATAAGGGTTAAGACAGCAGACTGTTTCTGTTTAGTGTTCAGTGGACAATGTACCCAAACCAGCATTAAAAGGAAGAAGGAATCTTTATTACTGTCTGTAGAAAATCCTGCAAATTTCTGGAAGCTACAACAGTCAACAGATGTTCAAAAAGGTAGTAAAATGTTAGTATTTAA